TGCCAATGCAGAAAATTTGTTATTTCAGTGGAATTCAAATAAATATCCAGTTGCTCTCACTCATCAATTCAAAACTAACTGCATAATGATGCAATGCGAAGACGATAACAGCAAATCATCAAGAATATACTTCCTTCACCAAAAGACCACACCCATGTAGACAATGGTTGTTTCAGTATGACCAAACTAAACTTTAATTCCCTCTTATTTGTTGAAGGATCTGTAGAAATGGACGAAAAAACATTAATTACACTATTAAATAAGCAAGAGATTAAACACACCTAAAAACACGCATCAAAAACCAAGTAAAACAGCTGAATTATAAAATGGCGACAAGCATCAAGTTTACATAATGACAGACCAAATTTGACATATAAATGCGAAATGATCGTAGATAAACATAGCATTAATTTATAATGTAGACAATAGATAATTATTAAAATTCCACAGATGTACCAGTCAATTTAAACTGTAAACAATAGATAAACGATAAACGACACACCATAGATGCTGTGTGGACTATAGATATTTAAAATACTATGCATACGCCACAACATCAATCTATACTTACTTTGACCAATAAATAACAGTTTAATAGAAATGCCACTATAGATTAACATAGCAATTAATTATGTCTTCTATTCTCACCTTAACTAACTGTAGGAAGTAGCGTTCTAAAGTCTACCAATATGATGAATAAACCAAATTTAGGAGAGATACCACTGAGAACAATCTGTTGTTTCAGTGGCTTCCAAATTAATTTCCAATTACCTCCCATTCTCAGGGTCAAAATTAACTGCATAATGTTGCAAGGTGAAGACATCAAAAGCATCCGTTGTTTCAGTAGCACCAATTCCTTTTAATTTGGTAGGACAATCTGTAGAAACGGTCAAGAAAAAGTAATAATTACCACTTTTAAAGCAAATAAATCAGTAACATTCACACTATTCAAAAGACCAGTTCCACATTAATTCTGCTGAAATGTTGCTTAAAAGTTGTCTATTGAGGCAATTTACAAATGTCTAAGAAATTGAAGTTTCTGGGACCTCATTTACCATTTTTAATTGATACTGTTACATACCAGTTCATTGTCATAAATCCTTCTTCAGCAACAGCACAAATTCCGTTCCGATTGGAAAAATGGCGTCTTCATGCTTTTTTTTATGGCCATAGGTACAGCTACTTTCTGGAGCGATTGACCACTGAGACAACCAATGCTTCATAATTTAACAGAATCTGGAGCTCTTCCAACGTTCCTCTGAAATGAAATCTAATGAAAAAGTATTCAGATACGATTAGTTTAGCATCCCTAGAGAAAGTAATGTTCAACACTTTTCTGTTGACATCAAATAAATACACTAAATATATAATATAACATGTATGCTCACCTTAATTAACTACAAGTCACCAAGATGATAACAGATAAAACACCATAGGAGATGACTTGCTTTTTCGGTAGCATCAAAATAAATTTAAATTTCCTTACTCGTTTATCTTAAACCTGCAAAAATAGAGAAATAACGAATTAACTATTGTACGAAGTAAATAAATAATGAAATAGAACAGAAATACTTACAAAAAATCAAGTAAAATTGTAAAATTCATACTTTTAAAATCGCGATGAGGCGTGTCTTCTCTTATACTTGCATAAAATTTACAGAAATATCTATTACGCGGAAAATTTAATTTACTGTGTGGATAATTGCAAAAAATAATAATATATAGGATGAATTAATCTCAATAGTCTTTCAGAGTATTACACGTGGAAAAAATTAGCTCGGCAAGTTGAATTTCAATGATGCGAACAAGACAACGAAGACAACCCACCGCTACGAACAACTATGAAGGCGTTTCATGCGCATGAAGCACTGATGACGTAGGCAAACGCCAATCAGAAGTATCAAATTTAATTTCTGCGACGGTTTAAGCGAGAGAGACAGTGGAAACTTAAAAAGAGAGCATTAGAGAAGAATGCTTCTAATTTGAATTACGGATATTCTGGAATATAAATCATCAATATCGTTCACAGTCTGCAAAGAAATAGCGATACATAGGTACACATAAAAAATAATCCAGTCGAATTGAGAATGAATTAAAGAAGTTATACGTAAAAACATGATTAAAAATACAAGATAAATAATTACAAAATTTTATGTATTATTAGGACTTGATCCGTAACTTNTTAAACAAAATGAACAAAAAATAAGCATGCAAAATAAAAACTAAATCAAATGTACAAAAAAACAAAAAACATGCAAAATAAAAAACTAATTTGAATAAAATCAAGTTAATGAATTCTACTAGATAGAGCATGCACGATAGAGAACTATTTTAACTATAGGGTCATCTTTGTCTTCTCCAGCGTCGATCTGAAACAGATACGGTGGTAACAGATTAATAAAGAGCAATTAAAATTAATTATATCAAGTATTCTCACCTTAATTAACTGTAGACTCTATGTTCCAAAGTTTGCAGGTGTGAAAAGCAAACAAAATCCAGGAGTAATGCCAATGCAGAAAATTTGTTATTTCAGTGGAATTCAAATAAATATCCAGTTGCTCTCACTCATCAATTCAAAACTAACTGCATAATGATGCAATGCGAAGACGATAACAGCAAATCATCAAGAATATACTTCCTTCACCAAAAGACCACACCCATGTAGACAATGGTTGTTTCAGTATGACCAAACTAAACTTTAATTCCCTCTTATTTGTTGAAGGATCTGTAGAAATGGACGAAAAAACATTAATTACACTATTAAATAAGCAAGAGATTAAACACACCTAAAAACACGCATCAAAAACCAAGTAAAACAGCTGAATTATAAAATGGCGACAAGCATCAAGTTTACATAATGACAGACCAAATTTGACATATAAATGCGAAATGATCGTAGATAAACATAGCATTAATTTATAATGTAGACAATAGATAATTATTAAAATTCCACAGATGTACCAGTCAATTTAAACTGTAAACAATAGATAAACGATAAACGACACACCATAGATGCTGTGTGGACTATAGATATTTAAAATACTATGCATACGCCACAACATCAATCTATACTTACTTTGACCAATAAATAACAGTTTAATAGAAATGCCACTATAGATTAACATAGCAATTAATTATGTCTTCTATTCTCACCTTAACTAACTGTAGGAAGTAGCGTTCTAAAGTCTACCAATATGATGAATAAACCAAATTTAGGAGAGATACCACTGAGAACAATCTGTTGTTTCAGTGGCTTCCAAATTAATTTCCAATTACCTCCCATTCTCAGGGTCAAAATTAACTGCATAATGTTGCAAGGTGAAGACATCAAAAGCATCCGTTGTTTCAGTAGCACCAATTCCTTTTAATTTGGTAGGACAATCTGTAGAAACGGTCAAGAAAAAGTAATAATTACCACTTTTAAAGCAAATAAATCAGTAACATTCACACTATTCAAAAGACCAGTTCCACATTAATTCTGCTGAAATGTTGCTTAAAAGTTGTCTATTGAGGCAATTTACAAATGTCTAAGAAATTGAAGTTTCTGGGACCTCATTTACCATTTTTAATTGATACTGTTACATACCAGTTCATTGTCATAAATCCTTCTTCAGCAACAGCACAAATTCCGTTCCGATTGGAAAAATGGCGTCTTCATGCTTTTTTTTATGGCCATAGGTACAGCTACTTTCTGGAGCGATTGACCACTGAGACAACCAATGCTTCATAATTTAACAGAATCTGGAGCTCTTCCAACGTTCCTCTGAAATGAAATCTAATGAAAAAGTATTCAGATACGATTAGTTTAGCATCCCTAGAGAAAGTAATGTTCAACACTTTTCTGTTGACATCAAATAAATACACTAAATATATAATATAACATGTATGCTCACCTTAATTAACTACAAGTCACCAAGATGATAACAGATAAAACACCATAGGAGATGACTTGCTTTTTCGGTAGCATCAAAATAAATTTAAATTTCCTTACTCGTTTATCTTAAACCTGCAAAAATAGAGAAATAACGAATTAACTATTGTACGAAGTAAATAAATAATGAAATAGAACAGAAATACTTACAAAAAATCAAGTAAAATTGTAAAATTCATACTTTTAAAATCGCGATGAGGCGTGTCTTCTCTTATACTTGCATAAAATTTACAGAAATATCTATTACGCGGAAAATTTAATTTACTGTGTGGATAATTGCAAAAAATAATAATATATAGGATGAATTAATCTCAATAGTCTTTCAGAGTATTACACGTGGAAAAAATTAGCTCGGCAAGTTGAATTTCAATGATGCGAACAAGACAACGAAGACAACCCACCGCTACGAACAACTATGAAGGCGTTTCATGCGCATGAAGCACTGATGACGTAGGCAAACGCCAATCAGAAGTATCAAATTTAATTTCTGCGACGGTTTAAGCGAGAGAGACAGTGGAAACTTAAAAAGAGAGCATTAGAGAAGAATGCTTCTAATTTGAATTACGGATATTCTGGAATATAAATCATCAATATCGTTCACAGTCTGCAAAGAAATAGCGATACATAGGTACACATAAAAAATAATCCAGTCGAATTGAGAATGAATTAAAGAAGTTATACGTAAAAACATGATTAAAAATACAAGATAAATAATTACAAAATTTTATGTATTATTAGGACTTGATCCGTAACTTGATTGATTAATAAATATACAAAATAACGCATTTTACCGTAATTACAATTTAATCATTTTTAGCAAATTAGTGTGTTTTATTTTACGTAATCAAATCAGAAATGTAAGAACCTATTTCTGCCTTGGAGTTCCTCTGGCTGTTCGTGACCACGTCATTGTTTATATTCTGCGGGACTACTATTCCTTGCCGGAGAGCGGTGTTTTGTTTATAATTTAGTTTACTATTTAGTCTATGAATATATGTATGGTATATACCTATGTATATACCAAAAGGGAAAAGAGGCATTCTTTCTTGGTAGTTGAGCGAGTTAAGTGGTATTGCTCTTTGACTGTGCCGAATTGTACACCATAAGTGAAAAGAGTGTATTAAATATATTTTTAAGCAAAAGTCGTAATTCTACTCCTTTCAGAAGATTTTTTAGTTTAATAAATTACTTATTACAGTCAATTTCTCCGGTTTAAACTACACATTACGACAAAAATCTAAAGTTTCTGCGAATTGCATACTTTGACAACGCAAATACACGGTTAAAAAAAAAGAACATGACTAACAAAACACAAACAGTCTGATTGTAAACCATTATGAAAACATACACAACTTCACGATAATGTTAACTTATGGGTTTATCGCATTCCTGGTGGTATAATAAAATTCGACCAAATGGACAAGAAATTGATTTTTTTTACATTAAACGAATCAAATTAAGAAACTAGGTAATTGCAATGGTATTGTAGAAGAACTTTATTGTTATTTAGAAACAATTTGTACACGATTAAAGTTATTTTGGTATATTACTAAACAGCTTCTGTGGTTTAATTATTCTGAGCCTGAGTTATTAATGACCTCGATGTAGAATATAGGATACACAACATTAAATCACAGGATATACTCCAGTCAACGAGACTCCTTGTTCATGGAAAATGAACATTTTCGTTAAGACGCAATTTTATTTTTGTTAGAATAGTAAAAAATACGTTGATCCTGAATTTCGTTATCCACAATCAGAGATGTTGGGGCAACATTTCTTAATTTAACAATTAGTAAAAGAAAAATCCTTTTTGCGAAATATCTTCTCTCCAGTGCATTTTTCGTTGTATGTATTGTAAGTTAGGAGGGTTATTTCAAAAATAATGTCCGGCACAATACAAAATAATGTTTTTATATAAGAAAGATTATACACATACGTTTTTACAGTCAGAGTTCTCTATTCAAACTGTCTATTTAGTGATGGGTCGTTATTCCGTTAACGTTATTTTGTTGCAACGTTTAGTAACGTTACTATAATAAGTGCTGCATAACTTAATTCTACACGAATAATATTAAAATAAAAATACAACTTATGATAGTGTAACCAACTCCAGTCCTTTCAATTAATAACCTCAGGAATTAATCCGGCCCCGCTTGGGGATCGTCAAGGTGATGATCCTGTAAAGAAGATTTTTTTTTTCTTAAAAGGTCTTGTAGCTCTGACATGCGCGTTAGTTGGTCGTTTAGAAATTTTTTTCAATCTCTGTTATCTACTTTTTCTGCTTCCAGCTTCTGAAACTTTGGAGCAACCTTTCTTGCCCTCGATTTCCTCTGTATATAAACTACAGGTTCATTAACTTCTAGCGTTTGTCTTCTACTCTGATTAAACTTTTCTAACTTTATGATATACTTGTTCGAAAAATGGAATAATTTATTTTCTCCGGTTTTCATCATATTGTTGATAAACTGTTTTATCTAAATCAACCTCGTATAAATGCAAACTATCGTAAGGTCCATACAAAAGATCAAACGGAGTATAACCGGTAGAGGTCTGTACTGACTGAATATAAATTAAAATTGCACTAATAAGATGGTAGAATGGAACCTTTCAATGGATGAATTTGACTGTAGTAATATGTAATTAGATTTCAAAAATCAAGCAATATTCTCTTACAATGTAATTAGAGAATTCATTACATGAATTTGCAATAATTTTTCGGGGATGGTTATGGTGAGAAAAGTAATTTCTCAATGTATTCCTTATGGTAATAGGGCATACTAAGCCTGGACATATTTAGTAAACAAATCGATTATAGTAAGAAATTTATTAGAGTTAAATTGGAAAATGTCGATGTGAATATTTTCCAACGGACGTTTAGCCAACAAGGGTCCTGATAGTTTATTATTTTATTTATAAGTTCTTTCATTTTTGGGCAATAAAATTGTCTTTTTAGAAGTTTGTATGTCTCTTTGATTCCATTGTGATTTAATTGATGGTAGTAATAATGTTGTTTTTCGCCTTGGACAATGTCTTTAGCGTACAAATTACTTTTAACAAATTTCATTTCATTACTCTTAAAAACGTCTGCAATCAATTTAGATTTGGTTTCCAGTTCTTTGTCTTTAAAGTAAACACCATATAACGCTTTTGGCACGACTATTTCTTTATTCCTTTTAGTACATCGTCTTTTTCATTCCTTTGTCTAATATATATTTCGTAGGTACTGTAGCGAGCACGAGTATGTTTGTGTGATCGGGCACACGTGTGCGTGATCGGCTTATCGATTCGCCGACTAGCCGCGGGCGCCTTTCTTAATGTGCGCCGTATTTGTAAATGTGTGTGTCGTATCTGCGTGCTGGGAAAGCAGTTAAACAGTTCAAAGAAAAAATAAACTATCTGGATGTTTCCAGAAGGTTTCAGAAAGTAAACAAAAGAGTATTTAAAGAAAGATACCATCGCCGAGAGGAGAGGAAATAAATTGACCGTTGCAGAAGTGAATCCAGAAATAAATTGACAGTGATAGCAGTGAAATAAATAGCGCAGAGATTAGTGATATATCAACAGTAGTGAAAATAAATAGAATAATTCATAATCTAAGTTTAGTAATAATTTAATAGTGTTTTAAGTTCTTTAATAATTAGTGTAAATAAATAGTTTTTGTCGTTATCAGTTTTAGAAGTTAATTTTGTTAAACCCACGAACATTACAGTATATTTTTGAAATGGCCACGTAAGTTTAATTTCGTAGCCTGGATAAAAACTAAAAATTAATCGATGTAGAAATTTATTAACCGGTTTTTCAGAAATTGGTACTGAACAAATATGGTCTTTGACTGCAGTATATGCTGTTTTCTCCTCCGTCGTTTTCCAAGATTTCGTCTGAATCGGTCAGATCTAAAATATCTTGGATATCGACATTGGATAAAATTGAAAATAGATCGGTATCATCAGTCGTGATTTCCCGCATGTTAATTTCCACACTGGACAAAGCGTCAACGCTAGAATTCTCTCTACCTTTTTTGTACTTGACCTCATAATCGAACTCTTCCAGTTTTAATTTCCACTTAACAAGACGTGAATTGGGTTATTTGAGTTTGAAAAGCCAACGCAAAGGTTCATAGTCGGTTTCAATTATAATTTTTTTCCATAAATATAGGGCCGAAAATGCTTTATCGTCCCTATTATTGCCAAAAGTTCTCGCTCAATAGTCGAGTAGTTACGCTCAGGTGAATTGAGCGTCCGGGAATAGTTCGCTATCGGTTTGTCTTTTTGGGATAAAATAGCGCCTATGTTAACTGTAAATTGTTTTGTGAAGTTAGGATATTGAAGTATAGAACCGTTGGTTAGAAGTTCTTTACACTTATGAAATGATTCGATATAGTTTGGATTATTAACGTCTTTGACAGTTGCCTTTTTTAAACAGTTGGTAAACGGCTGTACAATTTTGGCAAAGTTTTTGATAAAGCGTCGATAGTAACCGACTAGTCCTAAAAAGCTCTTAATTTGCTTAGTTGCTTTCGGTAATGAGTAGCGTTGGACGGCCTTAATTTTTTCCGGGTTCGGTTTTATGCCTTGAGGTGATACGACGTAACGCAAGAATGCAACTTCCTTTCTCAAAAATTCCGATTTAAGTTGAACCTTTAAATTGAACTGTTTTATTTTTTCAATAATCAATTTTATGAGAATGAGATAATCCTGTAAAGATTTAGAAAAGATGACTGTCATCGGTGTACACAAAACAGAATTTATAGAGGTATTCTTTAAAAATGTTGTGCACAACTCTTTGGAACGTCGAAAGCGCATTTCTGGGGCCAGAAGGCATTCATAAATATTCGTAGGGTCCGTTGTTTACACTAAACGTGTTTTTCTCAATCGATTTCTCTTCTACTTCAATCTGATGGATCGGCTGTTTCTTGTAATTATCGGATTATTCGGAAAGTCATTTCGTTTTTTCCCAACAGAGGATTTAATTGTATTCTTTTGCACCCAACTTCACATTTAAGCCGTATAATTTTTATATGCTTTGAGAGCTCTTTTAAATATGGAGAGCGATAAGCAGCACTTTCGACATATCTTACTGTTTTACTACAGAAAGGGTAAAAATGCTGTTCAAGCCAGAAAGAAATTGACTGATGTGTATGGAGAAGGTGTGTTGACATACGCCAGTGCCAGAACTGGTTCGCTAAATTTAGATCCGGCAATTTTGATGTCGAAGATGCACCACGTTCGGGAAGGCCGGTTGAAGCTGATAAAGACGCGATAAAGGCATTAGTTGATGTGAACCGGCGAATAACAACACGTGAGATCGGATTGAGGTTAAATTTATCAAATTCAACAGTTTATGACCACTTGAAAGGCCTGGGATTATCCTCGAAGCTCGATGTATGGGTTCCCCATGTTCTCACAGAGAGAAATCTGTGTCGCCGCATTGACGTCTGCGATTCGCTTCTCAAACGTCACGAAAATGATCCGTTTTTGAAGCGCATCATCACTGGGGACGAAAAATGGGTTGTATACAACAACGTCAAACGCAAGAGGTCATGGAGCAAAAAAGATGAACCGGCTCAAACCATTTCCAAAGCCGATATTCACCAAAAAAAGGTGATGCTGTCTGTTTGGTGGGATTTTAAAGGAATCGTTTTTTTTGAGCTTTTACCGGATAACACAACGATTAATTCGGAAGTCTACTGTCATCAGCTGGACAAACTGAATGATGCACTTCAACAGAAAAGGTCAGAACTAATCAAC